CTTGTCTGGAAGGCAGGGTAACGTTCCTGTAGCACCATCTGTTGGGCTGTAGGGGAAATTCTGTGGGAAGTCTCCTTGTCCTTTCTCTTCTCTTCCCTCACTTCCTCCCACACAATTTCTGACAGTTGTCAGTCTCATAATGAGGAGACTATAAAAACAGGGACATAACAAGCAAGGAGTGTTGATGGTCATGATTTTAGAGTGAGTGGAGTCAAAAGAAGTTAGCTATAATATAAAACTGGTTAGCAAGCGTTTCCCTCCATATTCTTATGCCCATGTTTTCTCTTATCTCAAAAAATAAAAAATGGATCTGATATAAGTTTGCAACTTAGCATATCTTTGGGGGTGGGGAGGAAGTGGCTGGCATGGTGATACATCTTTCAGCTCCAGACCCAGGCCCTGGAATATACTCTCTGCCTGAGTATCGGTCTTCCTGTTCAGTTTCTCTTTCTCCTCTTAGTATTCTTCCTTTTCTCCTCCAAGACCTCCAAAATGCCCAGATGCTTGGAACCCAGAGCCCATTCTTAGTTGTACCCTCTTACTTATTTTGTCAACATCTTTCTGTTTCCATCTCCTTAACTTGCTCCTGGATGCTCTTATTAATATGGCCATTTATAACCTGGATCCCTTAGTTCCCACTTTATCAAGGCGTTCTGCATGCAGGCCTGGTCCACCGAAGGGGGAAGGTGGAGGAGAGTGATTGGAAGTGTTTCCCAGGGACCGTCAAATATATGGAGGTAGTGTAAAAGACCTGCCAGCACGGGAGATAGCAGAGGAGGCTCAGAGCTTCAGGTGTGGGAAGGGAATAGGCAAGATGTAGAGAACTTAGTTGTTTAGAGTCAGATCCAGAACCTTTGTCTTTGTGTGTGTGTGTGTGTGTGTGTGTGTGTGTGTGTGTGTGTGAGAGAGAGAGAGAGAGAGAGAGAGAGAGAGAGAGAGAGAGAGAGAGAGAGACTTAGTGTGAGTATAATGATTATCAAACTGATTTGGCCTCTGTTTCCTCACTGCATTTCTCTCCTACTCTCCCTCTCCTCATAGACTCTGATGAATCCATACTTCTTCCTGGCTATTCTCCAAAACCTTCAGGCACACTTCTTCCTTAGGAAATGGTTTTTCTTTTTTCGTGAATATTCTTCCTCTAGATATCCTTTTGGCTTTATTTTGGATCTTCTTCAGGTCTTTGTTCAAATATCACCTTCTCAATAAGGCCCGTCCCGACCACTCTATTGGATACATACTTCTAACATATACTATATGGTTGGTTTATTTATTATGTAGAATTTTGAGCGGAGGAGCGACACGATCTGACTCACTGCTATGTTGATTCGAGACCATGGGGAGATGAGGTAGAATAGGGAAGATCAGTCAGGTGAGAGATGAAGGGATGGAAGTAATCAAGCTTTCTGGCCTGGACGACTGTGTATGTGGTGGTATCTTTCACAAAGAAAAGCACCAAATGAGACAGAGAAGGCTTGAGATGGGGAGTGATGAGTCATTGCCATCGAATTTATCCCATTATCTTTGCATCCCTTCCTAGCCTAATTCTGTCCATCCCTTCATGACCCAGCTCCTTAAAAGAGCAGTGAAAACCCCCTGTCTCTAATGTCATCTTCCATTTACTCTTCAACCCTTTACAACCTGGTTTTCACCCTCTCTCCGGCTCTTGTAAGGACTCTTCTTCCATGGCTTGTTCTTAATTGTTTTTGTTCTCCAAAGCTTCATACTTAGCTCTCTTCCTGTTTGGATCCATTGTTACCATTAATAGAGGGGATAACGGAGCAGAAAAGAGGCAAGCCGTATTGTTCATAAATTTTTAATGGCAGTTTTATGCAATTGGATATTCTGAAACCAGAGACTTGGAAGCTCTGTCCGTAAACTCAAGAGTATTGCAGTCACAGTGATCTGATGATGCTTTAAGACCTAATACATCAGAGTCATGTGCAATATGAAATTTGGAAGGAACTTCAAAACTGGAACACTCATTTAATTTTAATTGAGCCCCTCATAACTAAATTATCTATAATATTATTAAAATTTAAGCTTACCTACTGAAATGCTAACTGAGGAAGACAAGAATATACTGTTCTTTAAAAGAAGATTAATGCTCAGTGGAAGGATTAAGGTAGAATGACATGATTAAAGAAAAGAATACAGACAGATAACTGTCCTCAAAAAGGAGTTCTCACAACAAGTTCCTGTGCTTTCTATTTTTCTTCTCACGTCTTCACTTAGTTTTTTAGTTAGTTCCTCTCCTCTTAGTGTCTCACTTGTGATAATGATACCTTTGCTTGCGGCTATCTTTATAGAGTGGTATGTTGGTACAAAAAAATAGTAAAAACTTGTTTTTTTTGTTGGCTTCTATTGTTACTTGTCTTAGAGATGCTCTTTTGGTAACCATGAGATGTTTATCCTGTCTGTACCTTTCACTGTCCTTCAGTGAGAGCCCTGTCTTTGTCTTCCATGGAGCTCTCTGGCCTTGATGAGAGACTCAGTGCCTGGACCTACCTGGTGACTTGCCATGAGTGGATTCCTATTGGTTTCCTGAACTGGACTTAGATCATCCAGGGGCTAATCCTGACTGTATCTTGAATCTTCCGATTGTCCTTCACTATCACTGGCCTGACCCATACTGGATCCCTGGTATTTGCTTATTCCAGGTCCAGCCTATATAGGGGATGCTTGCCTGTGAGATGACCCAAACTGACTATAAATAGACCCACACCTTTCTTTTGTATTGGATCCTAATTCTCCATGGACAGAACTAGCTCACCTATAAATAAATGTCCATCCTTGATAGAACCCTGGCCTATCTCCAGATCCCCATGGCTAGAGTAATCTTTTCTTCTTTTGCTAGACCCAGACTCCCCCTGGTCATACTCAGGTGTATCATGGGAAGAGAAAGACTATCTTTTGCTGTCTTCTGATTGTCCTTCAGTATCACTGGACTGACTATTGGATCATTCTTGTCTACTGACACCGCACCCATTCTGGGATACTTGAACTATTGAAATTTTGGCGACACTCTCTTCTGTTCAGTGGAAAGAGCATGGACTTGAAGACAGGATCAGGTTTCAAATGTTATTTTTGTTATGTGACTGTGGGCAGAACTTTTAATGGTAAGTTTTCTCAATATTCTGTCCTTGGTTCTCACTGCTCCCCTCTCATTTCAGTTGCGGCCGTAGCTTCATTCATAATGGCAAACATTTATTGAATGCTTATTATGCGCTAGGCACCATTCTAAGCACTTTTCAGGTACCAACTCAATCTTCACAACAATGTTAAGATAGGTACTATTATCTATAATTTTTAGATGGGGAGGAAACTGAGGCAGAGAGATCCTGAGAAAGTTAATCAAGGGAAAAGCAAAATAATGACAAAGCTGAGAAGCTGCCTAGAGCATTTGGCTTCAGAGCCTGAACTTTGAACTAGTTCAGTAAACTACCTACATATGGATGACTCACATCCTGATCCTTTTTTTGAAATTTAGATATATATGTTCATTTGCTTTTAGGAAAGCTCTACCTAAATCTCCCTCGGGACTCTCAAGCTCACGATGTTCAAAACTGATCTTACCATTTCTCCTCTTCTAATCTTACTCCTTACTTAAATGAATGGCCTCATTGTTTATTCAACTGCCCAAGACAGAATCCTAGATAGCCCTAGATTCCTTCCTTCAGTACCTCTAGATTTGATCAATGACCAAATTCTGTTGCCCTTGTTCACTAACCTAGTTCAGACCCTCATTTTATTTCTCCCTTGGACAACTTCCTTCTTATAGGCAGGCATATCTACTTCTTTGCTACTCTAGACCATCTCAGATGATATAAAGTAGGCATTTGATTAAGGCACTCCCCTTCTCATAAGTCTTCAGTAGCTCATCCTCTGGGCAAAATATAAACAACTATTTGTAATGAGAGCAATAGAACAGTATTTTTAAAACTCTCTGCAGTGAAAGGTCAGGGTTCTTTAACTCCAATCTTTCAGGAACAGATAGTTTCTTAAAATAAAACAAAAAATGGTCACACACTTGGATAATGCACCAATGCCAAATTGCTATAAAACATTTTTAACCTCTGCCCTTAATTTCTGTGCTTGTCTTGTTATGCACCAGTGAAAGTTTGCAGACCAACAATGCAATGTGGATCCATACTTTATTTATTTTTAAATATATTTTTATTAATTTTAGAGAGAAAGGAAGGGAGATGAAGAAACATCAATCGGCTGCCTTCAGCACACCCCCTACTGGGAACTGAACCCACAACCTGTGCTTGTGCCCTGACTGTGAACTGAACTGGTGACCTCTCGGTGCATGGGAGGATGCTGTACCAACTGAGCCATACTGGCCAGGCTGGACCCACACTTTAAGAAGTCTGGTTACATAGGACTGCAAAGTCTGACTGTGAATGATACTGCTGGTTGTTGTTTTCTCCCGATTCTGCTCTGTGTGTTTTACCCACTGGATAAAGTTGTCAGGGATTGATACGCTTTGGAGAAAGGTTTTGTAGAAGTAAGGGAGAAACAGGAAGATGGAGTCTGCCCCTTAAGATTGTCCCAGTCAAAGAATAACTTAGAGACTTTAGTTGTTTGGCATGAAAATAGTTGATTCACATGTGAGGGAGTTGGTTGATGGAGTTAACCAAAACAAGTTTTCTAAGGGAAGGAGAGAGATCAGAGAAAAATTATAGTCTGGGATGTTCCCAGGGAATCTTGTGCAAACAATTTTTGGGCAAATGACTTTATGTCAGCTAGCAACGAGGAGTGTCTGGTAATTCTGTCCTTGAGTGGGCAGGGATGTGAGAGAAAACAGTGTCAGTTGTTTGTTCATGGGTTCTTCACCAAACATTGAGAGTTTTGCCTAGAGGTGTGTACATCTGGCTATCTCTGTTGTATGGTCAGTCAGTGTCCTTCCAGCAATACCTTCCACCTTAGTTACCTAGGTCGGCACTGTCTCTCTCATTCTGACTTTTAATTCTTCAGCCTGTCAGTTAGGCCTGACTCCTCTAGAGAAAGTAGGGCCTCAGGTGGTAGCTGAAGTAGCTGGTTGTGAAACTGTAGGCAAGGTGACAAATAATGACTCAGAAATGAGAGGCGTTGTCTCCATATCTGTGTCCGTGGCAGCTCAGTGAGGCCTGCAGGTTTGGCACCTTCTGGAGTTTGCAGCTTGTATGGAAATTTAGGGCTAGCACTTTAGGCAGGGAAGCAGGAGACCAGTAGGTGGGTCAGGTCCCCTTTGAGTGGCTTGTGGAGCATAAACATAGACACAATATTGTTTGAGGCTAACAAGAAAAATGAGGTTGTCTGTTGCTTTTTATTTACTCCCACATTGGGGATCACTTAAACTTTGCCAATTAATTTCACTTTAGCTTAATTTATTTAAGTAATAGTGAAAAAAGACAGCTTTAGTAAGTGCGCTTATGAAACCACTAAGCACAGAGTTAAAAGACTTGAGGTCTAGTTACTATTTTGGTGTAGATTAATAATGTACGAAGGACTCATCTGCAAAATGTGAACATTGGTCTAGCTATTCTCTGAATCCCTGCTGGTCTCCCATTATAGAGAAGGAACTTCAGGTACAATTCACACAGAGGGATATACCTTCTGACGGTAGAACTTTGTCCACATAGTTTGTATTTTTTTAAAAAAAAATCTCTTCATCCACTGGGCTGAGCTTTCTTTCCAGGCAGGAGAGCACTTTCTGTATTGCTTTCCCTCTGTCAAGATATTTGAGCACTATTTCTCTGCTCTCATTAGTTTCCATTGGAAAACATCTCCTAATGTCTTGGGAAGAAGGCCCTATGGCCAGTCATTTGTGTTTCCTGATCGTGGTCTGACTTGGCTAATAGTCACCTGGGTTGATATTTAGGTATTAATTATGGTTCTATTCACAATTGAGATAAACCTTTTACTGTTCTGCTGTGACAACGTGGAATAATGACTGCGTTACAGAAAAACATAGGATTTGATTAAATACTTTTCTTCTTTGGACTCTGTTACTTTTGCATGCTGTATAATTGGGATTTGGTCATATAGGTTTCTAGTGAGAGAGGGAAAAGATGTAATTCAGACCAAGGGGAAGAAAGTTGTTTGAGGTTTTTGAGAAACAAGCGTAGAAGACACAAATTCTGGTATATGATCAATTGTTTATTTTCAGTTTTCATGCAGTTTACTTTGATGAATTCAATATGCTGAAAGGTGATTTTAATGAACACAGAATAATACACAGTTCCTATAGAAGCTTAACAGAAGCACACACACTGAGCCATGATAAAATAGCAGCTATGGGCTCTGGAACAGTGATTTTATAATTTTCACTTTTTAAATTTTTGGCAAAGATTATAGCATGAAAGTGGAGAGGTTCTCAACTTTAACCCCTCAAAAAATCATTACATGAACCCCAGTCTACCAAAATACTCATATATTTCTTAACTTACTGTCCCTAACATTGATTTCTTCCATTCACCATTTTATAGCTATAAAGATAAAAGCTTCCAACACAATAAGAAGAAACTATCACCAAAGTAAAGGAATAGTATAACATGTTAAAAAGAGATAGGAGAAGATAACCTCTCCTATCTGAAAGTAAATGGGAATTTCCTTGATTTGAATTTGTGTTCTTGACTCATTTGCCTACTCTCTGGATTAATTACTTTTCTGTTGTCTCTCACTCATAATGATGGTATTGCTGAGACTTACTAAATCCCAGCTGCTTTAAACAGTCACCCGACTGGCCATGAATAACGGGGTGGATAAAATTGCCTGATGTATTGGACCTTGAAAAGCATTCTCCATATGCGGGTCTGTCTCTGAATCCCACATGGCTACATTTAGGTCTGACACTTCCAGCCTCATTATCACTGGCCTGACTGATACTGGATCCATGGTGTCTACTGTGACCAGATCGAGATGAGACTTCTCCATGTACATTCCCTGAGTTTCCTGAGTGGTCTCCTTGTGGATCATGGTGCCACTCTTGTCCTCGTGTGCTGCTGGAGCTAGACTGACTATGGGCAGAGTTAGAAGTTCTTTGGGTGGATGCCTTACCTTGATGCAACCCAGAATGCCTAGAGTTATCTCCTGACTGGCCCTGGGGAGACCCATGCTGCTGTCTTGACCTAGACCCAGTCACTGCATGGGGCGAGGTAGAAGGTCTACCTGAAACTTCAGACTGCCCTTCGCTGTCACTGGCCTGACTACTATCTGATCGCCGATGTCGGGTTGTCCTGGAGCCAGAAGATGATGGTGCGTGCCCAGTGCCTGAGTGTCTGGAGCTGTCTGGTGACAGCACATGTTTGGATTCATGTCTTCCTCTTGAGCCTGATCCTGACTTCCCATGGTATGAGACATTGTGTCCTCCAGAGGATGTCCCTGCTTGATGAGACCGAGAATGTCCAGAACTGTCTCTTGACTGGCCATGGGTAGATCCATGGTGGTACCTTGAACTGGACCCAGTCCTGTCATGGGTTGAGGGAGAATGTCTACCTGAGTCTTCAGAGTGTCCTTCACTGTCGCTTGCCTGACTACTACTGGGTCCCCGATGTCTGGTTGTTCTGGACCCTGAAGAAGATGGTCCGTGCCCAGTGCCTGATTGTCTGGAGGTGTCTGGTGACAGCACATGCTTGGATTCTTGTCTTCCTCTTGAGCCTGATCCTGACTGCCCATGGGATGAGACATTGTGTCCTCCAGAGGATGTCCCTGCTTGATGAGACCCAGAATGTCCAGAACTGTCTCTTGACTGGCCATGGGTAGATCCATGGTGGTACCTTGAACTGGACCCAGTCCTGTCATGGGTTGAGGGAGAATGTCTACCTGAGTCTTCAGAGTGTCCTTCGCTGTCACTGGCCTGACTACTACTGGGTCCCCGATGTCTGGTTGTCTTAGGTCCTGAAGGGGAGGGTCCGTGCTCAGTACCTGAGTGTCTGGAGCTGTCTGGTGACAGCACATGCTTGGATTCTTGTCTTCCTCTTGAGCCTGATCTGGACTGCCCATGGGATGAGACATTGTGTCCTCCAGAGGATGTCCCTGCTTGATGAGACCCAGAATGTCCAGAACTGTCTCTTGACTGGCCATGGGTAGATCCATGGTGGTGCCTTGAACTGGACCCAGTCCTGTCATGGGCTGAGGGAGAATGTCTACCTGAGTCTTCAGAGTGTCCTTCGCTGTCACTGGCCTGACTACTACTGGGTCCCCGATGTCTGGTTGTCTTAGGTCCTGAAGGGGAGGGTCCGTGCTCAGTACCTGAGTGTCTGGAGCTGTCTGGTGACAGCACATGCTTGGATTCTTGTCTTCCTCTTGAGCCTGATCTGGACTGCCCATGGGATGAGACATTGTGTCCTCCAGAGGATGTCTCTGCTTGATGAGACCCTGAGTGTCTAGAGCTGCCTACTGACTGTCCATGATTAGACCCTTGTCTCCTGTTGGCACTTTTGTCTGACTGTCCATGGACAGACTCAGATGGCCCATGACTGGCTCTCTGCCCTTGATGGGACCCTGAATGTCCAGAACTGTCTCCCGACTGGCCATGGGTAGATCCATGGTGGTGCCTTGAACTGGACCCAGTCTTGTCATGGGTTGAGGGATATTGTCTACCTGAGTCTTCAGAGTGTTCTTCACTGTCGCTGGCCTGACTACTAGTGGATCTCTGATGTCTGGTTGTTCTCGACCCTGAAGATGATGGTCGTTGCCCAGTACCTGAATGTCTGGAGCTGTCTGGTGACAGCACATGCTTGGAATCTTGTCTTCCTCTTGAGCCTGATCCTGATTGCCCATGGGATGAGACATTGTGTCCTCCAGAGGATGTCCCTGCTTGATGAGACCCAGAATGTCCAGAACTGTCTCTTGACTGGCCATGGGTAGACCCATGGTGGTGCCTTGAACTGGACCCAGTCCTGTCATGGGTTGAGGGAGAATGTCTACCTGAGTCTTCAGAGTGTCCTTCACTGTCGCTTGCCTGACTACTACTGGGTCCCCGATGTCTGGTTGTTCTGGACCCTGTAGAAGATTGTCCATGCCCAGTGCCTGAGTGTCTGGAGCTGTCTGGTGACAGCACATGCTTGGATTCTTGTCTTCCTCTTGAGCCTGATCCTGATTGCCCATGGGATGAGACATTGTGTCCTCCAGAGGATGTCTCTGCTTGATGAGACCCTGAGTGTCTAGAGCTGCCTGCAGACTGTCCATGACTAGACCCTTGTCTTCTATTGGCACTTTTGTCTGACTGTCCATGGACAGACTCAGATGGCCCATGATTGGCTCTGTGCCCTTGATGGGACTCCGAATGTCCCGAGATGTCTCTTGACTGGCCATGGGTAGATCCATGGTGGTGCTTTGAACTGGACCCAGTCTTGTCATGGCTTGAGGGAGAATGTCTACCTGAGTCTTCAGAGTGTCCTTCGCTGTCACTAGCCTGACTACTAGTGGATCCCCGATGTCTGGTTTTCTTGGATCCTGAAGGTGATGGTCCGTGCCCAGTGCCTGAGTGTCTGGAGCTGTCTGGTGACAGCACATGCTTGGATTCTTGTCTTCCTCTTGAGCCTGATCTGGACTGCCCATGGGATGAGACATTGTGTCCTCCAGAGGATGTCTCTGCTTGATGAGACCCTGAGTGTCTAGAGCTGCCTGCAGACTGTCCATGACTAGACCCTTGTCTTCTATTGGCACTTTTGTCTGACTGTCCATGGACAGACTCAGATGGCCCATGATTGGCTCTGTGCCCTTGATGGGACTCCGAATGTCCCGAGATGTCTCTTGACTGGCCATGGGTAGATCCATGGTAGTGCTTTGAACTGGACCCAGTCTTGTCATGGGTTGAGGGAGAATGTCTACCTGAGTCTTCAGAGTGTCCTTCGCTGTCACTAGCCTGACTACTAGTGGATCCCCGATGTCTGGTTTTCTTGGATCCTGAAGGTGATGGTCCGTGCCCTGTGCCTGAGTGTCTGGAGCTGTCTAGTAACAGCACATGCTTGGATTCTTGTCTTCCTCTTGAGCCTGATCCTGACTTCCCATGGGATGAGACATTGTGTCCTCCAGAGGATGTCCCTGCTTGATGAGACCCAGAATGTCCAGAGCTATCTCCTGACTGGCCTTGGGTAGATCCATGGTGGTGCCTTGAACTGGACCCAGTCCTGTCATGGGTTGAGGGATAATGTTTACCTGAGTCTTCAGAGTGTCCTTCACTGTCGCTGGCCTGACTGCTAGTGGATCCCTGATGTCTGGTTGTCTTAGGTCCTGAAGGGGAGGGTCCGTGCCCTGTGCCTGAGTGTCTGGAGCTGTCTGGTGACAGCACATGCTTGGATTCTTGTCTTCCTCTTGAGCCTGATCCTGATTGCCCATGGGATGAGACATTGTGTCCTCCAGAGGATGTCTCTGCTTGATGAGACCCTGAGTGTCTAGAGCTGCCTGCAGACTGTCCATGACTAGACCCTTGTCTTCTATTGGCACTTTTGTCTGACTGTCCATGGACAGACTCAGATGGCCCATGATTGGCTCTGTGCCCTTGATGGGACTCCGAATGTCCCGAGATGTCTCTTGACTGGCCATGGGTAGATCCATGGTGGTGCTTTGAACTGGACCCAGTCTTGTCATGGGTTGAGGGAGAATGTCTACCTGAGTCTTCAGAGTGTCCTTCGCTGTCACTAGCCTGACTACTAGTGGATCCCCGATGTCTGGTTTTCTTGGATCCTGAAGGTGATGGTCCGTGCCCTGTGCCTGAGTGTCTGGAGCTGTCTAGTGACAGCACATGCTTGGATTCTTGTCTTCCTCTTGAGCCTGATCCTGACTTCCCATGGGATGAGACATTGTGTCCTCCAGAGGATGTCCCTGCTTGATGAGACCCAGAATGTCCAGCGTTATCTCCTGACTGGCCTTGAGTAGATCCATGGTGGTGCCTTGAACTGGACCCAGTCCTGTCATGGGTTGAGGGATAATGTTTACCTGAGTCTTCAGAGTGTCCTTCACTGTCGCTGGCCTGACTGCTAGTGGATCCCTGATGTCTGGTTGTCTTAGGTCCTGAAGGGGAGGGTCCGTGCCCTGTGCCTGAGTGTCTGGAGCTGTCTGGTGACAGCACATGCTTGGAATCTTGTCTTCCTCTTGAGCCTGATCCTGACTGCCCATGGGATGAGACATTGTGTCCTCCAGAGGATGTCCCTGCTTGATGAGACCCAGAATG